AAAGAAGAAACAAGGATTGAAAATAAGAATTCTCAAATGTTATTCAACTGTTTGCTGTAGAAACCGGGACAATGTACAAGCATTTTTTTTTAAACTGGATCTTGGAGATGTTGATATACAGAAGGACAGGTGGTATTGCATTCGAACAAAACAAGCAAATACAGAGGTGATACAGAGATTGGGAATGAAAAGAGCTGCTGAAAGAAATAAAACAGACAACTGAAACACTTCAGTCACATACACAAAAATAATGCTTAAAAACCAAAATGGAGGGAAAACGGCAAGAGATAGACAACAATACAAGTTGGACAACAGCAGTCTGAAAGAGTGAACTACAAGAAAGAAATAAAATTTGCTGGAGATCCACTACAGCAAAGCATCACTGTAAAGATAGCACCTGACTGAGAAACAAGGATAATATTTGTCTTCACTTTAATCTCTTCTTTCTTTCAATTCCTAACCTCTCATACAAGTCACGTTTAGCCCCTCAAGCCAATCTCTTATACTCACAAATCACATATTAGGCCATCATGACAACCTCTTACACTCACGTCACCTTTAAGCCCCTCAGGTCAACCTCTTAGTTACTCATAAGTTCCTCATATCAAACTCTCAAAGACACCCATAAATCCCTCATGTCAGATTCTCAGTCAACCATGTTCCTCATATCAACATCTTAAGTAACCTTTAAGCCCCTAATATCAACCCTTCAACTTAAAGTGACCCTTCAAGCCCCTCATTATAAATTCTCATACTCACAAGTGACCCTTTAAGCCCCTCATGACAACCTCTCATACTCACAAGTCACCCTTTAAGCCCCTTACGACAACCTCTCATACTTGCAAGTCATCCTCTGAGCCCCCCAGGACAGCCTCTCATACTAGCAAGTCACCCGTAAGCTATTTAATATCAACTTCTCATACTCATAAGTCACCTTATAAGCTCCTCATGTCAATCTCTCATACTCACAAGTCAGGTTCTCAAAGCCCAGCCCAGGACCAGGGGATGGAGGCCCATAATTTGCAGGTGGTGCACTGCTGACAAGTGGTGCTGAACTGACAGGAGAGGCCTGCTGTTGCTGAACGTTATCCCGTTGAGGTGGAGGCGGAAGCTGGGCAAATAAAATATCTGAATCACAAAGTAATCAATGCAGCACAGTTGTCTGTGCACTAGCTTAACGATACACTGACTCAGCTCAAAAGACCATCAACCGCCTGTAGGAAATGAGTATTAAACCAGGAGACAGGCATGCAGAAACCGGTTGTAAGGCAAAGAAAGAAGATGTGCCAATCAACCCCCACTACCTACCCAAAGTGTCATAGCATGTGCCCATATTTTGACTGTTCGGCTCCTGCCTCTTTCATGTCACCCAAGCTTACTGCTACTGTTCTTTCCAATTACTGCTACTGTTCTTTCCAATTACTGCTACTGTTCTTTCCAATTTGCCAGGTACTTGGTATGGTCAAAATATTTCAAGTTTCTGAGATGAGATGCTGTTTACTAGCCAATCTCCCTTGATGTTCAGATCTTTGAGAACGGCCATAATTTTTTTCTAGGTTCATATATATATATATATATATATATATAGAAATATATAGAAATATATATAGAAATATATATATATAAATATATAGAAATATATATATATATATAGAAATATATATATATATATATATATAGAAAATATATATATAGAAATATATATAAATATATATATAGAAATATATATATATATATAGAAATATAGAAATATATATATATAGAAATATAGAAATATATATATATATATATATATAGAAATATAGAAATATTTATATATAGAAATATAGAAATATATATATATATAGAAATATAGAAATATATATATAGAAATATATATATAGAAATATATATATAGAAATATATATATAGAAATATATATATATAGAAATTTATATATATATATATATTTTTTTCTATATATATAAAAAATTTCTTATATCTTGGACAAGTAATAACATGTGACGGCAGAAGTGAAACAGAAGTCAAGAAAAGAATAGGGATGGCCAAAAACATTTTCAACAACATGCAAAAGTTACTGACATCAAGAGAAATAAACAATACATTAAAAATGAGAATTGTCAAATGTTATGTATTCTCAACCTTACTGTATGGCACAGAGACATGGACAATGAACAAACAACTGGAAAATCGTATCAATTCTATGGAGATGTGGATATACAGAAGATTAGGTCGTATTTCATGGAAACAAAAGCTATCAAATACAGAGGTACTGAGGAAATTGGGAATGAAAAGAGAGTTGCTAGGTGAAATAAAAAAGAGACAAGTGAAATATTTTGGCCACATTAAAAGACATAACAGTATTGTAAAGATCATCCTAGAGGGAAAGGTTCAAGGTAGGCGAGCAAAAGGCAGACAGCGTTACAAGTGGGAGGATAACATCAAGAGATGGACGAACAGCAGTATGAGTGAGTGTACATCAAGGGCAAGAGACAGGGCT